ACACACAGTCCCCTCTGGATAATACTGTCCAGTGCACGTCTTGTTAATGCTGTCCAGTGCACAGCTCCGTCTGGGTGATGCTGTCCAGTGCACGTCTTGTTAATGCTGTCCAGTACACAGGCCCATCTGGGTAATGCTGTCCAATACACAGACCCGTCTGGGTAATGCCGTCCAATACACAGGCCTGTCTGGGTGATACTGTCTAGTCCACAGGCCCGTTTGGATAATGCTATTAGTGCACAGGCCCGTTTGGGTGATAGTGTCCAGTACACAGACTGTCTGCCTCCACTCGTTCTTGGCGCCATTTCAAAATGCCAAATGCCGTCGTTACATGTTCTTTTGTGTTTCCATCTCGACTGCAGTGGTCTGAGTGTTTCCATCTTGACTGCAGTGGTCTGAGTGTTTCCATCTCGACTGCAGTGGTCTGAGTGTTTCCATCTCGACTGCAGTGGTCTGAGTGTTTCCATCTCGACTGCAGTGGTCTGAGTGTTTCCATCTCGACTGCAGCGGTCTGAGTGTTTCCATCTCGACTGCAGTGGTCTGAGTGCGGAAGTACAATAACTGTACAGAGAAGAGGCGTGTCTACTGATGAGCCTTCTCCGGCCCCTCTCGCGTGGGAACGGAAGCTCGGTAATGAGGGGCGGACGGGAGCGGTGGTGCGCCTCTTTGTTCGGATCTGCGGCCGGTGTCTGTGTCGCAAGCTCTTGCGCTCCAAGAGGCCATCTGTCATAGACAGACATGGCTGAGGTGTCCATCTGCCACGGCATACGTGGTCCAGGAGTCCACCCGTCACGGACAGGCGTAGTCCAGTAGTCCATCTGTCACCGACAGACGTTATTCAGGAGTCCACCTGTCATCGGCCAGCGTGGTTCAGGAGTCCATCTGTCGCCCGTCAATGTGGTTCAAGAGTCCATCTGTCACCGACCGATGTGGTTCAGGAGTCCATCTGTCACAGGCGACGTGGTCCAGGAGTCCACTCGCTACCGGCCGAGGTGACCCAGGAGCCCACCCGTCACAGGCCGACTCGGTCCGACAGCAGGCCGACTCGGTCCGACAGCAGGCTGACTCGGTCCGACAGCAGGCCGACTCGGTCCGACAGCAGGCTGACTCGGTCCGACAGCAGGCCGACTCGGTTCGACAGCAGGCTGACTCGGTCCGACAGCAGGCTGGCTCGGTCCGACAGCAGGCCGACTCGGTCCGACAGCAGGCTGACTCGGTCCAACAGCAGGCTGACTCGATCCGACAGCAGGCCGACTCGGTCCGACAGCAGGCTGACTCGGTCCGACAGCAGGCTGACTCGGTCCGACAGCAGGCTGACGACTGCTGCCGCCGGCCTGGCGCGGCGTGTCCGTCTGGTCCGATGTTTCTGAACCATCCGGACTCCTCTACGAAGGAAGCGGTTTTAAAGGGGCGGCAAAGCGGATAGCTGCTGCCTGATTTGTGCAGACCACAACGCGTAGCCATAGCTACGCTGTCATATCACATAAAATTTCTAGATTTTTTGAAAAAGTGGTACCGATCGATGAAGGACGAGGCATTTCATCGCTGCTCCTATTTTATGTGCTGATGTTTTGTTGTTGATCTATGGCTGTTGGTTCTCTATTTGTGTGGTGCCCTCCATAAATAAAGGGGTCGTTCTGATCTTACATCGCGTGAGCCACGTTCTCCGGGCTCTTCCATAGCACGAGCTCGCAGTAGGGCAGCGAGTGCTCTTGCCGGTATCGTGCGGTCCGTTACCACCTGCTCGAGCGCGGCTGATGGACCATGGCCTGTGAGCAGATAACATCCAATCACGTGTGGCAGCGGCCCGATAGCCGACGGTAGCCTTGTGTGTTGCGCGAACCTACGGGAACAGCGGAGGACAATTGAGTTTTACTATAAGAGCATGAATTTCATTAGAGTTCGCAATTTTTATATATTGCTTATTACTGTTCACGTCTCCTGATTTAGGTAGGTGGTCGCTTCCTTACCTTTTGGCTTGTATTTGTATTTACTTATCTTTTTAATTCCTTGTCTTCTTAATTCCTTGCCTTGTGATCCTCTGGCTTCTGTACTTGTAGTCCACGGAGAGAAGCCGGATGATCTGAGGCGTGCTTGTAGACCGTTGTGGCATGTTGTGAGGTGTCACGTTTGGTATATGACTGGCGGTGGGGGAGGGAGGGGAGGGGGGCGAGCCCGTGGCAACCTAACCTTGAACCAACTTTTTCATTGGATTCTGCTCACTATTTTGACGAAACTGGATCTATGTGATTCATGTATCAAATAATACTGACTTTAAGCAGCATGGTAGTCAGGCAGGAGCGTATCCAAGGGGAGGAGCACTGGGGGCACGTGACCTTTCTGGTCGGAGAGTGAGGTGCCCCTCTATAGGCCGCCCAAGGGCGCTGAAGGCCTTCTGCTATGACGGCGCCCCTGAAGATGCGGCTGGCACGGGCGGAACAAGGCAAGGTTTGGCTGGTCAGAACGACGCAAGGATGTCGCAAACCTTGCCGGGAGGGGAGGAAGCATCACCGAAAACTAGAAGGGCGTCATCTGGCTTATGGATATGTTGCAAAGTCTTGAAGGATGTTCTGAAAAAGGAAAGGACTCCCAAACCCTTGGGCTGGGAAGCTCCTTCCCCGAGGGCTCATTCGGCTCCCCGATCGCCGGTCCTGACGACCAGCACGCCCATAATACTTAAAGGGTGCCCAGCAACTGCAACCGCCCAAGATGAACCAGAGGGCACCCCTGAAGATCAAAGTTACATCTTGAGGGCAAGAGAAGCGATGATGCCTTAAGCAATAAAAGGGGGCCTCGAACCCCAGGGATGGGGCTGCCGGGGCTCAAAGACCGCCGCTCACATTCCAGAGACGTCCCAAACGTTGCTAAGACGTGCTTGCGGGCTAGAATGAAGTGCCTGTGGGCTTAGAATATGCCATGAAGTCCAGAAAAGCGCCCCTAACAATCAAGAGACGCCCTGGTTCCTAGCGGAGCTGTCCTAAGTACTCAACACATGTCCCCAAGGTCTGAAATCGTGTCTCGAGGGTTAGAAAAACGTCCCTAAATAGCCTGACCCGGAGCGGCGCCTCGAAAGCCCCTGCGCGCCCGTGACGTACAACATGCCGCGAGAGCGGAAAGAGTACTTTAAGGACAGAAGGGTGCCTCAATCCCCGGAGGCCCGCCCACTATGGCTCTAACGGCGTTCCTGAAGCCTGAAAACGCAATCCAATGCCAGGTCGTTTTTTGTGCGATAGAGCTGTTTTTATACTGCTTATGTGTTCATGCATTAATGTGTTTTTTATCCCTTATCGCTTTCCGTTGTTTTTTGACATACTGTTTTATCTCTCAGACTAATGGCACGTAATAGACACGCATGTGTGTGGAGTGTCAGGTGTTGGCAATTGAAAAAAAAACAGATCAACGTTTCTTATAGAGAGGCGCCCCAGTTGAAATGTTTTGATCTGCACCTGTGGCCATGGCTAGTAAGCCGTGTCCAAAGAAAACTATTTGTGTTGTATTGGGAAAGGGAGATCTCAATAGGGGGAGGGGCGCGGCCTTCGCCAAACTGTACGAATCGACACCCGTGGTTACAGACATTGTGTTCCAACAAATGTGATCAATATTTATATTCTAGACACCTGAAACAAGCCAAATCCAACCACGAGGTTTTGATCTGAAGTCATGTACCTGCGGGTTGGGACCTCAAATTTGTGTACTTTTATGATATTTTACGTTTACTCCTATGGCGACTGCCTGTGGTAAAGGCATAGCATGTAAATGCGCAGAGGACGCCTGTAAGGGGGTAGTTGTACCTACCATTGGTACCCATTTTTCTCGGAACTTCGGTTTACTTGTATTAGTTGCAGAACAAGCCTGATAGGAAGCTGGATAGGCCGCATCTTGCGTCAAAGGTGTCACCGGAATCAAACAAGTGTTCTTGATTTAGCGCTAGATGATGAGTTTCTACTGTGTGCGATCTCTGGAAGTTGAAAACATCGATGCATATTATTATTTCTGGGTTTTTATGGCTACAAAATTCCGCTAAAAGCCTTTACATCAAAGCAATAAGCGTGCAGAATATTGACCGCCCTCGTCCAAAGGAGCAACTTTCCAAATCAATGCGAGATGTTGCCCGACTCCAGTCGAAGGACAACGGCCTTCGACTCAATCTCCAAGGGTAACACGGAGGACTGTTCTGTCTTCGGAGCTCTCTTAACGTGTTTTTTTCGATCTTGTCTTTTTCGATCTTCGATCTGATCTTTTTCGATCTTTGATGTCTTGAATCGTACTAACAAACGTCACATATAAACGACTCGATAATTATATTTTTTGTCCTTGATCGGCGAATGGGCAATGGAGTGGCAGTATGTATATGACGTTATTACGACGTCATGCATTCCAACGTACCCTTGAATGACTCAGTCCACAAGTGCTCTCCCACATCTTTGCGGCCTTTAAGCTCGAGAAGCAGAGCTCAACAGCCAGAAGGTTTCAATTTCTAAAAAGGACATGGCCGTTAGCTGCATCGAAAGGTCTTGATATGGCTATTTCAGTTCAAAACGCGGTTCAGATGTAGAACACTCCTTTAACTTGATCTGTATCAAATTTGGAAGAAACGAACTTTCTGCGAATCATGGATGCACTCAACAATATGCGCTTGGTATCAATCGGTTGCAATGGTACGGGGCGGCGGCACTTTTGACCTTACAGAACATCACCAAGTTTAATCTGTCACAGGTCAGTGACGCGGCGACTGAAATTCACACAGCTGGTGCGAAACGTTAAAAAAATGTGCTAATAGGTACAGAAAGATATGTGGGTCTAGATAAATATTATAGGTTCTAGAGAACATATTCTATACCTTATGAAAAATGCATTCAAGATTCTATGTAATAAGCCATCCCGTCATCTCCGAAAAAACAACAAGCAGGAGAGGACCACTCGAGAACTGGCCAGCTGGGCTCACACCGCAGTCCTTGCTGTATGAATAAAATGCCCTCTTTCTCTTCCTCTTCGCACAGGGGTGATCCGGACAAATGCGACAACTACGGCAACACGGCCCTGCACTGCGCAGCGGCCAAGGGTCACATGAACTGCGTCAGCTTCCTGGTGAACTTCGGCGCCAACCTGTGGGCGCTCGACAACGACTTCCACACGGCCAAGGACTTGGCGGCCATCCGCAGCCGCGATGACGTGCTGCGCTACCTGGACACAGTCATCGCCAAACAGGAGGCGCTCAACAAGAAGGTGCGCGTGCCGCCCGGTCGGGCGAGCGCCGCTGGTGCGCGCAGTGGGCCGATGGCGGGGTAGACAGTGGGCGGAGTGTGCTGTGTCGTAGCTGGGCTGCTGTGGGCTGATGATGGTTTGACGAGTATCGAAGGGGCTGAGAATTCCGTCATTTAGACTGGCGTCAATGTATGGCTCACTCATCATGCCATCTTGTGTTCTGTGTCCTTGTTTTACGTTAGTCATGGCATCTCTGGGGCCACGTGATCTCCGTAGCGCGGACGTCAGGGCGTCGGGCTCGGATCCACGAGAGTTGCCGCGTCACTGCATGCTATGAAGGCCACGTGACCAGTCACCCACCCTACGCTGCGCTCTTATGCTCAGGTCGCCCGGTCGCTGAAGGAGAAGGCCGTCAAAGAGGCAGAGAAGAGGGTCAAGGAGTATGACAAGATACAGAAGAAGCTGGACCGTAAGGCGGCCAAGGTCAGAAGCAGCAGCTTAGCCTGTCCCTGGTAAACTGAGACCGGAGAATACCCGGACCTGCGTACATATGCCACATATCAGCTAAACACTTGTCTGTTTTAGTCGCGTTTGCATTACTTCAAAGTTGACCGTCGCTAGCGACAAGTGTGGTGCGGTGGTTGTATTGCGACAGCTGTCACACAAGCGTCCTTTGATGTCAGTATCCGTGTCAAGTCTGTCGCTGAAGGGCGCCTATACCGACCATTTGGACTGAGAAGCTGAGCAACCCTAAGGCGTGCGTGCAAATAATTAGTGCAAAACCGACAATCACGAGCTGTTACGACATATTTCGATTGGGTATCAAAAGCCACACGATATCAAGGGGGGTCTATTATCATCATGCGTGGTGATCAAAGGGTGTGACGCTTACGCACGGCGCACTGGTGTTGTCTGTATGCCCATCTGTGCTTTGTTGACGTAATAATCAGCAAAGGAACTAACTGCGTTGTCAAAACTGGCGTCAATGGACGTCAGGCCGTCAACCTACAGACGGCCAGATCACAGCTGAATATTTAAAGAGATCCGTTAATCGGGATCGCATCGTCTCCCTTTCGGTGGTGTGAGCTGAGGCAGGACTCTCTGCGATTTGTTCATCGTTTCACTTCTCATGGCACGTCTGGAGTCAGAGGTGCCGCACATCTAACGTCAGAGGTGCCGCACGTATGACGCCAGACGCACCGCACGTCTGAAATCAAAGGTGCCTTACGTCTGGGGTCAAAGGTGCCACCCGTCTGGCATCAGAGGTGTTTTAAGTCCGACGTCAGTGATGACGCACGTCTGACGTCAGAGGTGCCGCACATCCGACGTCAGAGGTGCCACACGTCTGACGTCAGAGGTGCCGCACGTCTGGGGTCAGGTGTGCCGCACGCTTGGCATTCCAGGTGTTGCCCTTCTGAGTCGGAGATGCCGCACGTCCTTCGGTCCGTCGGCCAGCCGATGTCACGACGGTGCGCGGCTGGTCCCTGACGGCCGTGACGGCTCCGTCCCTGACGGCCGTGACGGCTCCGTCCCTGACGGCCGTGACGGCTCCGTCCCTGACGGCCGTGACGGCTCCGTCCCTGACGGCCGTGACGGCTCCGTCCCTGACGGCCGTGACGGCTCCGTCCCGAGCGGCCGTGACGGCTCCGTCCCTGACGGCCGTGACGGCTCCGTCCCTGACGGCCGTGACGGCTCCGTCCCTGACGGCCGTGACGGCTCCGTCCCTGACGGCCGTGACGGCTCCGTCCCTGACGGCCGTGACGGCTCCGTCCCTGACGGCCGTGACGGCTCCGTCCCTGACGGCCGTGACGGCTCCGTCCCGAGCGGCCGTGACGGCTCCGTCCCTGACGGCCGTGACGGCTCCGTCCCTGACGGCCGTGACGGCTCCGTCCCTGACGGCCGTGACGGCTCCGTCCCTGACGGCCGTGACGGCTCCGTCCCTGACGGCCGTGACGGCTCCGTCCCTGACGGCCGTGACGGCTCCGTCCCGAGCGGCCGTGACGGCTCCGTCCCTGACGGCCGTGACGGCTCCGTCCCGAGCGCGCGTGACGACTCCGTCTCGAGCGCGCGTGACGGCTCCGTCTCGAGCGGCCGTGACGGCTCCGTCCCGAGCGCGCGTGACGACTCCGTCCCGAGCGTCCGTGACGGCTCCGTCCCGAGCGCGCGTGACGACTCCGTCCCGAGCGGCCGTGACGGCTCCGTCCCGAGCGCGCGTGACGAATCCGTCTCGAGCGTCCGTGACGGCTCCGTCCCGAGCGCGCGTGACGACTCCGTCTCGAGCGGCCGTGACGACTCCGTCCCGAGCGCACGTGACGACTCCGTCCCGAGCGCGCGTGACGGCTCCGTCTCGAGCGGCCGTGACGGCTCCGTCCCGAGCGCGCGTGTCGACTCCGTCTCGAGCGGCCGTGACGACTCCGTCTCGAGCGGCCATGACGGCTCCGTCTCGAGCGGCCGTGACGACTCCGTCTTGAGCGGCCGTGACGACTCTGTCTCGAGCGGCCGTGACGACTCCGTCTCGAGCGGCCGTGACGACTCCGTCTCGAGCGGCCGTGACGGCCTCATCTTGCCGTCAGGAGGAGCAGCGAATGCAGCTGGAGCGGCAGAAGATGGAGCAGCACGGCGGCGACGAGGCGGCACCGGCGGAGGCGCCGGAGAGCGCGCCGGCCAAGACGCGCAGCATCGTCTCCACCATCTCGCGCGGCACGGCCGGCCTGCTCGGCCTGCACAAGGAGAAACCTCACGTGCGTATTGGCCTGCCATCTGTTGGCCGCTTATCGTGCCACGGATCGGCATGATACACGGGGTTTTGCGGGGAAGGTTAGCTAGAGTGCGTTGACGAGTTCTCCCACCCATTTCACACCTACCGACGTATACTCGGCCCCCATTGTTTCGGCGATGTGTCTGCTGAATCCATGCAGTTAGGAGGCTTGGCCGTGGCCAGGAGAAGGCCTGCTGCGATCTTGCTGTCAGGTTGAGGGTTCCTCATGATGAATCGCTTCAGCGCCTGTGGCAGCAGCACACAGACAGCGGTAGCTCGATGCCAACCGATAGTTCTCGTCTACGCGACCGCCTGTGGGACTGCAATTCTTCTCCATGGTATCTCATGATCTAATCATGGGATCAGTGAAATCCGATCGTTAGCCGATAGCCCAGGCCACTCTCACTGAGGGGCAGTCAGCACGGCACTCGTCACGCGACTGATAACGACCAAGCCCGTGCAAAATACCCCAGGGGAATCTAAATAAAGCATAGATATCATGAATGAAATAAATAACTAAAATAATATTTTACATAACTAGATGGTTTGCACAGCGTTTTCTTCTGCATCTAACGTAAGAGCGTGTTCTTGCGCTTCAGAGCCGCGCCCCATAGGTAATGGAGGCTCATTGTCCGGTCACGGCAAAGTTGGGCTTTGTCATTAGGTATGACTTTTGCATCCGCTTCGCATAAGCTATGCAAACTATTTGCTGATAAATTTGCCCGTTATGCCGACCTCTTGACTACAAAATACATAGCTCATTTTGTTTTTATGCGTATGAAATGCATCACATAGTGGCTCTTGTCGCCAGAGTAAATACCTCATGCAGTAAAACGGATCCCAGCTGGCAATCAACTAAACCGTCCTGTAAGTTGTCGAAAGAACAAGCCAAACAATAACGGTAACTGTAATTGGCTACACGGCGAGGCGCAAGTCGCAGTGCAAACCCGACGATTATGTCATAGCTCAGCTGCCTGACCTACATTCGGTATATTATTGAGATGTGTTAGGCTCGCCAGCCGGTCAACACTGAAAGTATTTACAGACCTTTTTGCATCAATCGAGATGTTTTTATGGGACTGGTGACGCGCCTGCGGGGTGACTCCATAGTCCGTAGATGAGCACATGTAGGGAACAGGCACGTATAAACCTGCACGTAACCTACGCATGCTCCGTCGTAGTGTCGGGCGGTATATACAGAGGATCCATATAGAAGTTAAGTTGTCGTCGTAATTGGAATCGCATTAGTTCAGCGACGTTCCGGGTACTGGCAACAAGCTCTGTTAGGTACCTCCCATGCAGCCTGAGCCAAACCGACCGTGCGAACCATTTGGAACACCGGGCAAACAAGCCATGCGGTGGGTCTGGTCAGTTCCGTACCAGAAATGAATGCGAGCTCCAAAAGTGAGAAAACCTCACGTCCCCGGCGCGGTGCGGCAGGTGAGCGGCCAGACGCCCAGGTTCTCCGAGCTGACGAACGCCGGGGCGGCCGCCAACCGGAACCGCATGCTGCCGGGCGGTGTGAACCGTCGTCTGCAGCAGCGGCGCAACAACAAGTTCGAGGAACAGAACTTCACGGTGAGCCGGGCGGGAGGTTCGGCGAGGGAGGCACGCTGAGGAGGGAGAGCGGCAGTGAAGGGTGGGGAGCAGAACTTCACGGTGAGCCAGGCGGGAGGCTCGGCGAGGGAGGCACGCTGGGGAGGGAGAGCGGCAGTGAAGGGTGGGGAGCAGAACTTCACGGTGGGGCAGGCGGGAGGCTCGGCGAGGGAGGCGTGCTGAGGAGGGAGAGCGGCAGTGAAGGGTGGGGAGCAGAACATCACGGTGAGGCAGGTGGGAGGTTCGGCGAGGGAGGCACGCTGAGGAGGGAGAGCGGCAGTGAAGGGTGGGGAGCAGAACTTCACGGTGGGGCAGGCGGGAGGCTCGGCGAGGGAGGCACGCTGAGGAGGGAGAGCGGCAGTGAAGGGTGGGGAGCAGAACTTCACGGTGAGCCGGGCGGGAGGTTCGGCGAGGGAGGCACGCTGGGGAGGGAGAGCGGCAGTGAAGGGTGGGGAGCAGAACTTCACGGTGAGCCGGGCGGGAGGTTCGGCGAGGGAGGCACGCTGAGGAGGGAGAGCGGCAGTGAAGGGTGGGGAGCAGAACATCACGGTGGGGCAGGCGGGAGGCTCGGCGAGGGAGGCGTGCTGAGGAGGGAGAGCGGGAGTGAAGGGTGGGGAGCGGAACATCACGGTGAGGCAGGTGGGAGGCTCGGCGAGGGAGGCACGCTGAGGAGGGAGTGCGGGCAGTGAAGCGTGGCGACTACCTTCTCTTTATTTCCAAGTCTGTACTTGTCTGTGAACTTTTCATAAGGCGTCCCGATAGCCTCCAAAGCAACGAGACGGGGTAAATACAAAATCGAGTTTTTGTTTTAATCGAAGAGGACAGCTTACGGCGACCTTAGAGCAAACTTTAGTACCTGACGTTAATTTGTCTCCAGTTTACATGCCTACGCATACTGTTTTAAAGGTTCAAGGGCTGAAGATAAGTTCAAAATTTAAAATGTCGAAGGGTTGGTAAGATCAAAATTTCCTAGGATGGCCTAGGTTTAATGCACCACTGAGGCTGCATTCAATGCAATGCAATGGTGTAGGCGGCGGCCGTTTACAAATGAGGACCGCCCCACCTGGGTAAGTGTCCTCCGAAACTCCGTTACCCCGTGGGTTCAGTCCTGAGCTCACGCCCCTCACTTGGACCTCAAGAGCGCTTCAGGGGCAATGCTCCTCATGCTGCTGTGATGCTACACTTATTTATCTTGGGCAGGCTGCCGTGAGGTCACCAGGTGGTGTTAAAGGCGCCCTGAATGTCGAAGAACATCAAGTTACCTAAACACGGCGGGCGCAAGGTGCCGGGATTGTCCTGCGCAATTAAAGAGACAAGGTCCACAGAAACAGCATTCTTTAGTTAAAGGCGTGGAATCCGACATCTGCTCGTAATCGATGTGATCCCTTTCCCTTAATGGGAGTTTGCTCTTAACGCTACCATATTCTTGCGAAGTTTTGTTATTGGTATGGACGATGATACCGGCCAGCATCACCTAGTGGTACTTGCGTTACAACACTACACAAGGCCATTGTAATACGGCACTGTCATTCACAGATGAATGTAAAGAAATATTTTCACTGTCGGTCACGCTTTGCGATTGAGTAGTGCTTTGTAGACCCCATCTTCTTCCTTGTTTTGGCACAAATGAGTCAGCTGTTTGAATGGACTATTCCCATTTAGCAAGAGCATGCACCTATGAAGTCTATATAATTACATCGCCTATAGCAATAAGGTAGTTCACGACCCTGAGGTCCTTATCAGCACCTTTACCTTAGATATATTTGCACTCTCCTTACTTTTCTCATTATTTGTACAGCCACGCTCGTCTGTTGCTTACCCATTCACCCAGTCACTCACAGCCATTGTCGTCTGAATTCCGGCAGAGGCTTTCCGTAAACCCCCAAATTTCGCAAGTTGAAAGTCATCGATTTTGTCCAAACGTCAATATCGGTGATGTTGTCAGCTTTGGCGTCACAGTTTGCGGCCAGAAATTACACCGATAAGCCAGGGCAGGGAAGCACTTGCATGTTGATGTTGGGCGTCAGAATATTCGAAGGTCGCGGGGGGAGGGGGGATGTTCGCCAACGCTTCTGCGCCGTGTGCACGGGCAACGAGCCCCCTCGATTGGATCACAGGAGGGGCCCGCCATTCGGGTTAGGACCGTCTCGGAAATCTCGGGGCCGAAACCGACTGACCCCACACCGTGTCAGTCGCTCTATGGGCCGGCGAGCGCGGGGCGAGCGCATGCAAGCTCTGAGGCGTCCCGGCCAGGGGTCAGTGACCTCGGTGCCGTTCGCAGGTGTCCGACAGCGCCAACGGCACCAAGTCGGTGCGCAGTCTGTCCGGCCTGAAGCGGGACGATCAGATCATGTACGTGCAGAAGTACGAGGAGGAGGGCTCGGGCGCCGACGGCCCAGGTGAGTGGCCCTGTGAGAGTGGCCCAGGTGAGAGTGGCCCAGGTGAGAGTGGCCCAGGTGAGAGTGGCCAGGTGAGAGTGGCCCAGGTGAGAGTGGCCCAGGTGAGAGTCACGCCTGCCTCGTCACAGCGCGTCACTCTGCCGACCGTTAGGACCCTGCCGCACGCCGTGTGGCGCACCCCGGCGACCGTTGGCGCTCTGTCGTATGCTGCGTGGCGCCCCCTGGTGACTGTGGTGTTCTGTGTCCGGCTGTGCTGAGACCTGGCAGACTGTGCCCCGCCCCTCGTTAGGCTTTGGTGCCCCTTGATGTGCGTTGGCGCCCTTGGTCGGACTGGGGCATCATCCGTCGCACCACACCGCCTGTCAGAGCATGGATCTCTGGTTCGGATTGTGGCACCCAGGGATCGACGGACGGGTTACCGTAAGGCAGTCGCCGTCATTAATACACACTGACGCTTGGCAGAAAACGTCGGCGTGCATGATCCACACGTTAAACATTCATACGTTATATGAGTGGGGTATGCATCGGCGCGCTGGTGTTCGTGCCGGGCCACGTCTGCAAGCCAACACCTGTGCCCGGTCACCCGCCAGGCAAGCGGGGTAAGCTGACGGACCTGGATTTCAACCAGTCGGGGGCGGCTGCCGAGCAGTCGCTGTTCGACCGACCCGGCTTCGGCAACGTCGCCTTCAGGTCAGTGGCGAACCGTCTGACGGGGACGGAGACGGCCCTGCCTCTCGCCATATCGATGCTGGCCGCTGAACCTGGCTGCCGCTCCACCCGGTCTGGAGAAGCGGCCTCCGCGCCGTCCGTCTCCACATCAGGGGTGTCACCCCACCCCTGTCTGGAGAAGCGGCCTCCGCGCCGTCCGTCTCCACATCAGGAGTGTCACTCCACCCCCGTCTGGAGAAGCGGCCTCCGCGCCGTCCGTCTCCACATCAGGGACGTCACCCCACCCCTGCCTGGAGAAGCGGCCGCCGCTCTGACATTCTCTCAACACGTGTCGACCACTGGCTCACGCCTTAATTCCGCCTTGATATCAGCACCATTTACTTGACAAAAAACTGCAGCCAATCCGAGCGCAGGGTCGTCTGACGCTGCTGGGTCGTCTGACGGTCAGGGTCGTCAGGGTCAGGGTCGTCAGCGCAGGGTCGTCTGACGCTGCTGTCATTCGTGAACTCCATGCGCTCCCCTGGCTGTCGCTGGCCGTGGCTGTAATGACACCGGCGTATGAACACCCACTTCACCGTGCACCGTGCTGCCATTACGAATAGCAGCAAACCAAAGTCAGCTGTTTGCGTCTACTGAAATCCATCCTTATTTTGCCGCGATGTATTTTGTACGCTGCGAGGTACGCCAGGCATTGATGTTTATACGCTGCGAGGTACGCCAGGCATTGATGCTGGTTAAAAGCTGCTCGTCGAGTTGGCATCAACCTCCACGTATTTCTGTAACATATCTGTATCTTTCTGTCAGTTCTTCCATTGTTCGATGTCTATGCCTGCCTCGTGTTCACTCATCCACTCAGCCACTTGCACTGACTACTGCACTGAATTCTGTCAGGACAAATGCAACCTTTTACCGACCACGGCACGTAGTTCTCTCAGGACAAACACAAACTTACACTGACGACGGTACCGAACTCTGTCAGTGCAAACATAAACTTGCCCTGACGACGGCACCGAACTCTGTCAGGACAAACATAAACTTACACTGACTAGGGCACCGAACTCTGTCAGGACAAACATAAACTTACACCGACTAGGGCACCGAACTCTGTCAGGAGAAACATAAACTTGCACTGACAACGGCACCGAACTCTGTCAGGACAAACATAAACTTACACTGACTAGGGCACCGAACTCTGTCAGGAGAAACATAAACTTGCACTGACGACGGCACCGAACTCTGTCAGGACAAACATAAACTTACACTGACTAAGGCGTCGAACTCTGTCAGGAGAAACATAAACTCGGCGCTGAGTCAGCTACCCGAGGACCGGGAGGTCAAGTCAGGTCAGGAGGACAGCATCGGCTCCGCCGGCAGCCTCACCGGAAAGCAGAACCCCTGGGACGAAGAGGACCTTCCAAGCGGTAAGCTTTTCGTTGCGTCGCTGGCGTTAATGCTGTCAGAGAACAACTATTTCCATGGCAGGTGCATCCAATGAACGCACATGGGAGGCGCTAAAACCAACACCATCAGGCGGCGCCACTGTCTGCCGCTGTCACTGATTGCGCCAGAGGCGGTCAGTGGTGCGCGAGTGACCAGTGCCAGTAGTGCCGGTGGTAATTATGGCAACCATTCATAACAAACAAGATAGTTCGAGACGGTAGAGGAGGGCAATAGAACTCACAGGTAACAAAATACAGCCCCAAATCCTTGAAATCGCGCCAGTACAGAGTTGGACAATGCCCTTTCGAGGACAAAGTCGTGCAGATCTCGTGTTCACGACGTTGGGAAAGTGGCATACACCTTATGAACATCAACGCTGTGACCGTCCCTCTAGCAAATTGTCCCCCGGTAGAGCTCATATTGTAACCTATGGATATCACCTCTCCCTGCTTTCCTTACTACTTAGCCTTCAGTCTCTGCCCTCTGACTAGTTCGGCAAGGACTAAAAGGAAGAGCTGGCACACTAGCTGGCGTCGTGACGGCTGCATTGTGCCGCGCCGATGGAAAACAAAGTCAGGAAGTCAGCCAGCTTCCCTGCCAACAGACATCGAGAAGGTCCAACGTTTCCTACTCATTTGTTTTATCAAGTAGTTATGGCCTACGTCACTGCAGCTAAACACATTTCCGCCATACCTCACTGCATGCTGAGCCCGCCCCCGGTGTCTCTGTGTCTGCTGAGGCCCCCTCCTCCGGTGCCTCTGTACCTGCTGAGGCCACCCCCGGTGCCACTGTACGTGCTAAGCTCAGCCTCGGCTCCTCTGTACGTGCTGAGCTCAGCCTCGGCTCCTCTGTACGTGCTGGGCCCTGCTGGCCGGCAGATGACGAGGTGGAGGAGATGAACCCGGAGACGTCGGCGCTGCACCTGGTGCTGACGTCGGCCGGCCTGGCCGAGTTCATCCCGACGTTCACGCGCGAGCAGATCGACCTGGCGGCACTGGCGCTGCTCTCCGAGGCCGACCTGGCCGAGCTGGGCCTGCCGCTCGGGCCGCGCCGCAAGCTGCTCAAGGCGCTCAGCGACCGGGAGGCGGCGCTGGCGCAGCCCGGCGAGATCACCGACACGCCGCTCTGAGAGCGCGACGCCGGCGGCACTCTCGCCAGCGCTGGGCGCGGGAACCGAGAGCTGCGTGTGTGTGAGAGGAGGCGAGAGGTGAGCTAGCTCACGGCCTGCGGTCGGCATGGGCCGGGCCAGTGCGGTAGCGTCGTGTGACGCTCGGTGAGGACTCCTGGAAGCACGATGCCGCCGTTGACGACTTGGGCGGGCCATTGAGGAATGTTCCCGAATAAACCGGCCGGCCAGAACCGGACTGACGGCGGTGTATTCTGGCTAGATCACTTTTTGTCACCGACGTTACAAACGTAACTAAGTCCATTGAAACTGGCCTGTCGGAACCGCAGTATGCCACAGACCCCAGTAGTCAAACCCTATTGCAAAACTCCCCACCATTCCGGGGATGTATGTTGGGAAAGCAGATCTCTCAAGGGACGGGGAGAAATGACGTTGTCAATGCGCACAGATGCGCAAAACCCGGTACTAGCGATCCCTTTGCTTTCATTGTCATCTTACCGCGTTAGCGCACCATTCACGGAAACCCTCCGGCTCCATGACTATGGTGCGTAAAGCGAAATGACGAAACGACGTAAGCGTTCGCGCGGCTTCGAGCCGACAGAGGAGCATAGTCAAATTGCAGAACGTGGAGGAGCCGTTCATGAGCTGGGAACGACCCCCCCCCCTTGCCATGCGATGGCAACATCATGACCCCCAGTGTGGTCACCGCAGTAGCCAGGGCACGGCGCGAGATGACGTCATCAGCACTTGAATGATGCCATTGCTGCGGAGTAATCGGTCTGACCAGCGCGCGAGCGCCGTCCCGCCCTGCGTCTTGCGCCCTGCGCCCTGCGTCCTGCGCCCTGCGCCCTGCGTCCTGCGCCCGTGACAAGCCGCCAGAGCGTCTCGGGCTCGCGTGCGGCCTTCATGGCGACTGCAACGCGACAGTTAGCTGTAACCACCGACTAGTCCCCGTGTGAGCGTGCTTAGTAAGCAGCGTGCGTGTTTGGTTCGTATGCGCGCCGACAGATGGGGTAACTATATCCGTGAGATGGTCGCTATTATGAACGGGTGCAGGAATGAGCATGATTGGTGTAAATAGACACTGTGATGTTGAAGTGGTTTGTTTTACGCTGTGCGACCGGCCAGCCTGAAAGAATGCCGAAACTTCTGGTCATAGAAACATGGGAAAGCAAGATGGACAGATGTGAGCATACGAAGACCTATTTAACTTGCATTGGGCTCGAGGTCGTTAGTGGAACAAATGTCATACCAAGGGGTCGGAAGAAGCTAAAAATTACCAAATTTGGAGTGCGTAAATAGCCGTCGTCTGAAAACGCAAAAAATCTAGTGAGAACCATGCAGCCGTGCAATCAATTATGTAAATCGAGACCACGTTAGGTCGTCCCCTGCCGACCCTTCTGGGTCCCCACACCGACCGGCCTGGCTGTACCGAGTGTCGCCACGCTCGGTCCCGGCCTCCATCGCCGCCGGCGGTCCCTGCAGCGGTCGCCGGACCGGACGGACGCGGTCTGTCCGGCTGTGACGCCACTGTCACGGCGCTGACGGGGTCACGTGTCGACTGTGACACGTCGCGTGTGACGCCCGACAGAGGCCGGGCCACTGTGTGACGCCCGACAGAGGTCGGGCCACTGTGTGACGTCCGACAGAGGTCGGGCCGCTGTGTGACGTCCGACAGAGGTCGGGCCACTGTGTGACGTCCGAGGTCGGCCATGGCAGTGAGTCTTGATTGGGCTCGAGTACGTGACTTATCCGTTAAGACGCAAGCCTAGACTAACAATCAAACCTGAAACAAGAGACGCGCTGAATAGCAGTTCCAAAACAAGCTGCAACGCTTTCGTCACTTTATTCACATCAGTTTTTTCTACAATCAGGCTAAAAGAAAGGAACAGACACAGATTCTCCGCTTTAGCCTTAAGTGTAGAACTTTTAACAGTCCCAGTATAGGTACACCCATCCGGCCGGCAGGCCACACGGAGTTTGCGTTAGACTCCGACTCCGACTCTGACTCTAGGCTCCCTTGCCGCTCCCCGCCTCCCAGGCCCCGGACTCGGTAGCCACACGTCACAAACCATCACATTGGGAGCAAACATCACGCGGCCCATAATGATACATTGTTAAGCGTGTCTGGGGTGAAGCCAGACTTCAGATCAGTGTGGACGGAGCACCGGAGCGTGGTCTGACTGTCGCGAACCTGTGCTGGCTCTCTCCTCGCCGTTGGAGAGGGCTACGCAGCCGGAAGTCCTCCTCTGCTGACAGCACACAGGACTGCTCCGTCTGTGGCGGCGGGTAGCTCGGCTGCTGACGCCAGTCTGGTCTGGCTAGCTCAGTCAGCACTCGCGGCGCAGCTGATCTCCCTCCTTAGCCGCGGCGCCAGCTCCCCGGACAGAGTCGGCCACAGCTGATCTCCCTCCTCGGCCGCGGCGCCAGCTCCCCGGCCAGAGTCGGCCACGGCTGGCAGGCGCAGCACAGGCTGTTCTCCTTCCCGAAGCGTGCCGGCCGATCGTGGAAAATCGAGCGAGGAAGAATGAGACGGAAAAATAATCAAAGTTTCTTTGAGATTCTATGGAACCTGTTGATGGAAGCAGATCCAAGACTCCAACAACCCTATTGTGTTAATCTGCTGGACGCGTTTGGTTGTACGCTGCCGCATTACACAAACACATCCTAACCAATAGGTATTAAACCAAAGCACACACTCTTCCAAAAGAGATCGCGCCAACAGCCCGCACATGGGTTGCAAGCCACTCACATGGCCAGGTACCCCTTATTGTTCGCCTCCTCACCTGTTCATGTAGCTGTTCGGTCTCCACAACCAACGCGAGGTTCTCCGAGGCCATCTCTTCGGCTGATCACAGGGAGGCGAGCCACTTCCCGCGGCTTTCCAGTCTTCTCGTCTCGTCAGTTTTGTCGTCAAACGTTCACGTTGCAGTCTTTGTCCGCGGCAGACCGGCCGTCCCACGCGCCAACGCTCCCTCAGCACACGCACGTGCACATGTACCCATGACGTACACACGCGCGCACTCGTCAGCACATGACATAACCCATTCATTCGACCACTCTGATTCATTCTCACCCATTCATTCGTCCACTCTGATTCATTCTCGGCAGGACGTGGCGACAGGAAGGGGAAGGATAACAACGACTGATGTACACAGTTAACACTTTCCTCCAAAATAGCAATAGCAACACTGCTCAGAATTAACATGCTACGGTATATGTTCGAACAAACTGGAATTACTTAGACTTAGAATTACTATACCAAGACATTCCCAACGCCAATGCTGATTAATCATCCAACGTTTCAGCCAGAGGCGATAGAGCTACAACTCTTGATTGTCCGTGGTGGGCTCAGCGCCACGATAGACCTGCAGCTCAGCGCCGTGACGGAGCTGCAGCTCAGCGCCACGACAGAGCTACAGCTTAGCGCCACGATAGAGCTGCAGCTCAGCGCCACGATAGAGCTGCAGCTCAGCGCCACGATAGAGCTTCAGCTCAGCGCCACGATAGAGCTGAAGCTCAGCACCATGACAGAGCTGCAGCACGTACCTGAGTCGGTGTCTCGCTCCGGCGGCATGGGAGATGAGGATGCCGACAGATGGGTTAATTACATATCGCGAGACTGACCTTCAGTACAACGCGGAATGACAACTGGCAACACGCCTTATTGCGGAAGCCATTCAGAACTTATCAATCCACTGATCGATCAGCCGCGGAGAAGGCGCGTTTAAGCCCACAGAGACTTGGCCACGAGAGTCTAAGATGTCACTCGTGGGCATCAAAGAGATCGAAGACGCTGTCAATATGGCCATCTATGTCAGCCGTCATCGACAGCAGCGTCATCCAGATTCAGAACCCTCTGTCAATGACATCATCTAAAGAAGCGTGACGTCATTAGCCTCGGACCAGCTTCAGCGCGCGTGCGCGCGCCGCCAGCCGACGGCGCACGGCATGACGTCACACGACCTGCGGCCGGACCACGTGACCAACCCCGCTGCACTCACGGTTACACTCGGCGATGTCGGGTGGGTCCAGACCATGGCGTCACTCGCCGGCTCGTGCACGCACGTCACCTCCTGCCGGTGGCATCAGTACGTGACGTCAGCAGCCGACTTAGAGCGCCACCAGCTGTCGTGAATTTGAGCTCACGCATCATCGGCTTCACTAATGGCTCGCGAACCCGCTGAGGTGGATCGGTCACGTGAAGTCATGCAGGACCACCGGATCGTCGCGTTCAGGTACTGTCAACGTGCTGCGGATGGCGCTGCTACCACAGACCGGCGTGCCAACAGAGAAGCACTGAACGAAGCGCTGCAAACGCACGTGATACGGCCGACGGCATCTGTCAGTCTTCTCCGATAGATGGCAGTGATTACCGCCCGGCGTCGTCAGAGAGCGGGCCGGTCCTCGGCGCACGCGTAGGCCGCGCGCCTGGCGCCGCTCACCTGATTCGTGACGTTGAGGTCCCACGTGATGAAGCCCCGCGGACATTTGTAGGTGACCACGTGGTCCATCTGTCGGCCCGGGTAGCCGCCGACCAGCGGCCAGTCCACAGTCATGTCGTCGGCGGGCTGCTCCGGGGGCGCGTCTTCGCAGCGACGCTCTGTCGAGGGTGGCGGCGGCGTCACCTGGCTGACCGGCGGCTCCGGTTACACTCATAACGGGGTAGACATGCGCCCACAGTCGGGTGGACAGCTGGTTCAAGCTAGCGCATTGTTGGAACTGTTTGGCTTGCTGACACCCGATGGCTTGCTGACACCCGACGAGATTGTAGAATGCTATAGTGTTACGTTTACCATCCTGTCATTCGTCATGTCACCAATACACGGCGATCTTTTACAGGCCGGGCAAGTCCGTTACAGCATACGTCTCTATCTATTCACCATAAAATGTGACTAGTCCTCATCACATTTCATTCAGTGGTGTGAACAAAGCCCGGCCGTGTCAGCTAAGCGGACACGTTCCCGGCCAGCATGAGGACCAGAACACTGCCGCTGGAAAACTGCTTGACTAACGTCATGGGTCGCGCTCACTGTCACCAGTCTAGTCCACCCCGCCGCAGCGGTGCTACCGGCACATCTCACCACTGCTACCGCACATCTCACCGCTGCTACCGGCACATCTCACTGCTGCTCCCGGAACATCTCACCACTGCTGCTGGCATACCTTACCACTGCTACCGGCACATATCACCACTGCTACCGACACATCTCACCACTGCTACCGGCACATCTCACCGCTGCTACCGGCATATCTCACTGCTGCTACCGGCACATCTCACCGTTGCTGCTGGCATACCTTACCACTGCTACCGGCACATATCACCACTGCTACCGGCGCATCTAATCACGCCCGTCCCCCAAACCCGACAGCCCCGAGGCTGCACAAGAGCCAGCCTCCATTTCTCTCCACTCCCTCATCGCTCTACCCACTGCCTCGGGCGTCCGCCGGTCCATCGGTCGGCTTCACTCACTGCGGCAGGCTGGCACGCTCTCAGGCTGCCACACCTTGGTGTCGAGCAGACACTCGACAGAGCGCTGCGCTCCGCCGCCGGGGAACTCCCAGCCCGGCGGGCACGTGTAGTTGCTGACGATGATGCCGTACGACAGCTGCTGGTCGGCCAGAGGCGCCGGCGGGCGGTCTGGGCAGGGCATCACTGCCGGCGCGCGGAGGGCGTCACTGCACGCCGCGGGTCGCGTCACGCAGGGGGGGGGGGGGCGGGGCGAGGCAGGGCGGCTGGTCTGCCGAGGTCGCATCAACGGCTAGCGGGTGCGGCAGCGCCGGAACCCCGTCTGTACCAGCAGGCCAGCATCAGAAGGTTTTCAAAGAGGTCGCCGGGAGAACGTGGTGTGGTTCAGGGCTGCACGCACGGATCGGGGGCATAGGGGTCTGGACCAGGC